TGAAGGTTGTAAAATACAGGCTCAAGTCATAAAATTACTTTTCAGTATCACTGTAATTTTGAACCTACCCCAATGATGTCCAGGAAGCTATTCAATTATAAAAGATCCAGTTATTCTTTCAAACTTTGGGGCAGAGGGAAAGAACTTTCTGTGGTTTAATGTGTTTCAGGACCATTCGTGATTCTTTTGTTAAAAAAACTGCACATATTCTAGATACAACTGCACCAGCTCCACCGATTCATATAAGGGCATTATCATATTTGCATGCTCTATATTCCATAGTTTATTGTCCAAACATGCTGTTGGTCTTTTTTATAGCAGATGAACACTTTTCACCGTTAGCCCAAGATCTTTCTTAATTTATTACTACTAGCTCTTATCCCATTAGTTTGTATGAATAATTTTGGCATCAATTTACAGTTGTGCACACTGAAGGACATATGTCACTTTGACATCCATTCCCTAAACACAGACATTCCTTTGAACCGTTCGCAGTCCATTTTTGTTCATATCAATTCTAGACAATTTAGTGTATCAGCAAACTTGGTTATTCCACCTAGCCACACTTGATTCCAAATGATTTATCAATAGATTAATAAGCATTTGTCCTAGGAAAGAACCGTGGGGGAGTGACAATCCTCCATTCTGAGAAATGTCTACTTATTCCAATTGTTTTTTATTTTTCAGGTAGATGTTTATTCACAAGACAACCTGTTCTTTTATTTCAGGGGTGTCAAACTGGTGGCCAGATGTGTCATGTGCAGACCACGCCTACTCCAGTTCCACAAAGAGAAAAAATGTCATGAAATGTCACATGACGTGATGCAGCAAGTTTGACACCCGTATTTTATTCCATGGCTATTAAGCCCACCGAAAAGTCTTTGATGAAGGAAATCTAAGTAGATAATATCTACTGGCTTGCTCTTATCCATGTTTATTTCTTCAGAAACCAAGTAGATTGGTTAGAGAAGACATTCCCTTGATGTAACAATTTTGGGTATTTTTGAGCAAGGCCTATATCTCCAAATGTTTGGTAATTTTATCTTTAATAGCAGTTTCCACCATTTTCCTTGGCACAGATGCTGATACTTCTTGAATATTCCCATAAGCCCTTTCCTATGTAGCTCAGATGTGGAGTTCTTCCCCCAAATTTCTCCTGTGAAAATAGAGGTAAAATAAAATACTTTCAAGTTTTCAAGTACTCCAGAATCCTTCAGAAGAGAAAAAGTGAGGAATGGAGTTAATAGCAAGGAACTTTAAAAATTGGGCCATGGTAGTTTCAGCCTTAGTGCTATAATGTTACTCTTCTTCCCTTGATGAGTAGGTATCATGTAGCCTGAGTCAGGGAACCTCTCCATTATTTACTGACCACTTCATAGCCACACCTTGTTTCTATAAAAAACATAACTAAATGACCTAGATATCTCTAAATTTGCTTTTGGATTCCTAAATAGCACGTAAGAGCATTTAAAAGTTAAACTAACCAATAAGTTCAAGAATTTTCTCACAACTAAAAACAGATATCCAGGTTAAACCATTCAGTTTTATGTTAGAATGTACCCATTTTATGAATGAAGGCAAATTTAATATTCTAACTGTGCTTGAATCATTAGAATTTTGGAAACTGATTTCAATGGCAAAATTAGACAAAAGATAATTCTACATATGAATGTATTTTCAAGTCTACATTGGAATTTTTTGGAAATTAATTCATTTCTCAAAAATGTATTTTCACCTTATGAGTGAAAAGAGAATGAGAAGCATTAATCTTCCTTCACAGCAGAAAAGAATGCTTTTGGGGCATTATGACGCTTTATTTACCCCCTTCCAAAAATTGCTCCATCAAAATTCAGGAATACATAATGTACAAAATGAGATTTGCCACTGATTTATGGCATGAAAATTTAAGTCTTTGCAATGCATAGGAAGTTTTCAATTAAACATTACTGCAATTGGGACACTACAATTGCCAAGCCAAAAAAAAAACCCCCACAAGTTTTAAGACCTTTTCTTATTCACAGTAGTCCAATTTGGACAAAACAGTAAAATCTGATCAATTTTAAACCTCTGAATTTGAGGGTGGATCATTCTTAAACGTACGGTGTTACTAGGCCAGTTCAGAATATAAAGATACAACAGTAAAGTCACATGATCGTACAATAAGTACAGTTGTTGCTCAATAGAAATCAGCAACAGGTATCATCAAATACACTGCTGATCTACCAACAGTCTACTAATATTTGGGCAGATAAAAAATCCTAACATTTCTTTCTGCAAGTGAATTTGAGACTACAAAACTGATTTCTAAAGATCTGCAGCAATACAGATAGTCCTTGACTTATTAACACAATTTAGCTCAAAATTACTGTTAAGTGAGACATTTGTTAAGTCAGCTTTGCCCCATTTTACAACCTCTCTTGCAGCCATTGTTAAGTGAGTCACTGCAGTTGATAAGTTAGTAACCTGGTTATTAAATAAATCTGGCTTCTCCCATTGACATTGCTTGTCAGAAGATCACAAAAGGGTGATGTGACTTGGGACACAGCAACGGTCATTATTATGAACCAGCTGCCAAGTATCTGAATTTTGATCACATGATCATGGGGATGCTGCGATGGTTGTAGCTGTGAAAAAAACTGGAAAAAAAAGTCATGTCCCTTTTTTCAGTCCTGCTGTAACTTTGAACAAACTGTTATAAGATGAGGACTAGCTGTACAACAAAGTTAACTATGCACCTATATTTCAGGTTAAAAAAATCAAGTCATAGAAATGAAATATATGATTTTCCAAAGTCTATGCTATTGGAATAATTAGATAATAGTAGTTTCATTATTTGTTTATTATTTTAGAATAAAATTTGTAATTTGTAAGCTAACCATCTAGTTTATATATAAAACAGAGAAGCTTTCACTACAAGCTATAATCATGCAATGGATAAAACTCAAATTTATATCCACATACGCATTTGTAAAAAAATGCAGATGTCAGCAGTATCATTTTAAAAGGAAATAAAACTAAGTATAAATCATTGCAATGATTCATGACATTTTATTTGTCTTTAATTAAAGTCATGCTGCAAACTGCTGGAGCAAGAATGTGCCCATTTACCTATGTTAATCTTATGAACACTACTGGTTGCCTTTTTCTTCTATTTTTTTATGCACAGACGAAATGCTTTTGTAGCCAAAACATCCACATGAAAAGGCTTGGTGAAGATCCAAGATTTGCAGAAGTACAAAAAAAATACATACTGTAGGCAAAAAAATTGTTAAGAATTTCCCCTCTGAAAGGTTTACTCAGTTCTGTTTTAACTACAGTTCTTGTCCTATTGAATAAATTAGAGAAATTTTCTAAAAAATAAAATACTTAAATAAGTTGGTAAGATAATCTGTAAATACAAAAAACATTTATCAGTTTAAAGCATTAAAATCAGAGCAGTGAAATATTAGTTCATTTTTATGCATAAGAACTGTTTTCACAAATATATAAAACTGTTAACAAAAAGTAATCCGATAGAAAGCCTGAAAACTGTAAAAGTAAAAAAAGTAAAGTATTTGAATGGACTATGTTCATCAGTTCATCTTATAAAACTGCTTCTAGATAACTAAACCTTTAAAGGTGGGCTTATCTTGTAAAGAAAAACAAGTTTATTTAGTTAGAAAATTTATTCGCCACCCATCTTTATTGAATAAAGCACAATTATATGAATGCACTCAATTACATTGTAAATCAGTGTGTTAAATGAATCCAACTAGAACAATTTCACTGATAATGTAACTGTGTATTTTGGCTGATGTAACCTCATACTTTATCAATATTAATTCTGCCTCACTGTAAAGGATGTTTTTGAAGTTAAGTAATTTCCTAAATAAACAAGGAAGTGAAATTCCAATATAAATAAAGGCTGATCAGGAACTAGCATTTTTATTTCAGGATAAGTACAGAAAGCGGCACTAGCTCTTTCTCCAAGACATCGGAGGAGGGAGTAAATCTTTTTCAACAGCGGCATTTTAGACTATCTCGACTAGGCCCAACTGGCAGAAAGAATACAAGTCTAAACACAAGAGACCCAACTTTTTTTCAGAGGAATAATAATCCACGCCAAACTAACCCTGTTGACAGGCGCAGGAAGTTCACTGCTTCCCGATACAAAACAACCGCGCTCCATCACGAAACTCGAGGGAAGCAACGCAACACACACGCGTCCTTTTTTTTTTCTTTGCAGACGGGTCTTTTTGACTTCCTTCTCCTCTCCAAAAATGTTGCTCACGAGAACTTTTGTTTCCAGAATGAAGAAAAGAGAACAAAACAAAACAAAACCGAGGGGTCGATAAGAACTGCCCGTTGATCCGGAGAAAGGTGTATTGGGGGCGGCGGGGTGGGGGAGAGAATTATTATCTGGTTCATTGAGGAAAGCGGAGCTCGCGACCCGCCGATCCCCGGGAGTCAGAGATGCAACGGGGAGCTGAGGAGGCGCTCCCACCCCTCTTTATTTTTATTTACCGCTCCCATTTTGCGAGCGCTTTGAGGCGACAATCCTCTGGCTGTAGAACTGGGGGGACTGGTCGTGCGAGGGGCCCCAGGGAAGAGGGCTTCGGAGGGAAAGGCTCTGTCACGAAGGGGAAAGACCCCCTCCAAAGCCGAGCCGTCTCCCTCATGTTCCCCGCCGCCCTCCTGCGGCTAGGCGTCCCGAGCCAAAGCTAAGTCAGGCGCCGCCAACCGCCTCGACGCGAGGGGTCAGGGGATGCCTGAACTCCCCCACGGCCTCCACCCGCGGCTAGACGGCCCCAACCGACGGCCCCTTTCCTTAACGGGCAACCGGAGGGAAGGAAGAAAGCGAGGCAGAGAAGGAAATGGACCCCGTCCTGCCGCTGTCGCTCCCCCACGACCAAAGCTCCGCCGAGTACCTTCCCCAACATGGCCGCGAACCCCCCTCCGACGGGGCGAGAAACTTTCCTGCGCTCCGCCGCCCCCTCCGGTAGACTCTTCCATTATCCGACCCGCTTCCCGACGGACCTCCCGAACCTCCGCCGCCCAACTTACTCAGAAACCGAAGCGCGCCTTCCCCTTGGTCCGCAGCTGGCCGCTCTCCCTCTTCCTCCGCAGCCGCTGCCGCTGGGACTAATCTGCTAACAACGCCCCTCCTGCCGAGGCGCGCACACACCCAAACCAGCCTCCTCCCCAGCGCGGGGAGGAGCCCCCGCTTCGACCACAGCCGCCCGCCCTCCCGCTCCCATTCCCGTAGAAAACTGAGAGGAGGAGCCAACGCCATCTTGGGAGAATCGGCGGATGGATCGGATTGGCCGCTGAAGGGAAAGAGGCGCTTAATAGCCTATGGCACTTAACCCTCAAAGGCGAGGGGGCGGGCTTTTCGTTTTTAACGGCTGCAAAGGTGGGTATCATTCCTCCCCCCTTCCCTCTATTTGCCTGGCAGCGGTTCTTTGGCGCGGTTTTGACGAGCTGTGGGAGTGATGGGCAATCCTCTCCGCTCTTAGCTCGCGGACCCTGGAAGCGTTGGGTTAAGTATAAACTTAAGAAAAATTGCGCAACCTATGTGGGAATGGCAAGCCAAACTTGGATTACCCATTACGCAAAACAAGCGCGTGCTTCGGGCGCTTAGGGAAAAGGGGGGCATCCCCGCGTTTTTCTCCGTAGCTGTCATGCCTTTCACTCTTTCACTGCCACGCTCGACAGTAGTCGATTTTTATTTTTTATTTATTTTTTGGTTCTACTTCGGTCTGCCTTGTTAAAAAAGAAAAAGTTCAGTCACCAGGAGTGACTGAAATGTTAAAGTTCGGTTTGAAGTTGTGGACCGATATTCGACTTATTTTCATCTCACGGCGAGAGTCTCGCTGCGGTGGCAAACTTTTTGCAAACTTTTTGCTGTCGGGATTAATTTCCACTTTTAAAAACCATGAAGGACCTCAAAAAAGATTTTCCTTAGATGGGTTGTTTATCGATAATTATCTATTAAAACTTAAAATGGATGCACTCATAGAATATTTACTGAATCGTGTAAAAATAACACTATGAAACATTCGATGTTAATGTTTCTTTCATGAAAATAACTTACACAGTAATTTTTTACAAATAAGAATGTAACTGTTGCAAATGTTGCAAATGTTTCAATAACTAGCAAATACTTTGCTTTCATGGAAACCCCGAGATGGTCTTAGAGACCCCAAGGGTCCTCGGACCACTTTTAAGATACATTGGCTTAAATTAGCCCTGGAACAAACCAGGATGGCTTCATGGCTTAAACAGATCTATGCTTAAAATCTATGTTGGGGGGGGAAGGGGGAGTATGTTTATGAGTTTTCAGAGCAAAAGCAGGATGCAAGCAACCTCTTCCTTTATCTGAACAGCCAACAAAGCTTTGAAAATTATAGTTGGAGCAGATAGTAGGGTAATGCAGTCCACAATGGGTTCCCCCAGATGCGTTCAGGAATGCAGATTTGTGATTACAGCATCCCTGAGTTGCTCTTGCAGAAAATGTAAGCAAACTGCCACTCTGCTTTATATAGACTTATACTGAATTTGCTGCAGAGTTGAGTTAGAAATGACTGTGTGTGTGTGTTTGCAGCTTACAAGGAAAATCAGCAAATCGAGCTGTATTCATATATCTTTATCCTTTTCAATTTTAAAGATAGATGGATATGACAAAATCTGTTTTGGTGAAGTATGGTTCCATCTTTGGAAAAGAAAGCTTGTCTTGAGTGCAAAGTGAAAGAACATACAAGCGAAGCCTTACTTCTCCTGTAACCTAACTTGCAATGTGCAAGATATGCTGGGCTCAGCACCATGACAACCACGATGCTCTTCCCTTTGAATGTTCTGCATGCATACAGGCATCTTGCCAGAAAGATTATTTTGGTTGGGTTGCCTTACTAGAGTGCCTCAATTCTTGACAAGTGTAAGTTTGAGACATTTAAATAGTGTACATACCAATAGCAATCAAATAATATTGTAACAAAAATAAAGCACAGATTAAGATCATTCAATTGTTGACATGAATAAAAAACAAAGAGGAGCCAGAATCAAGTCAGGAAACTTGTGTAAATAGTTCAATTATAAGCTTGCTTGAATACATGTTAGAGTTTTAAAATGTTAACTTTTTACTGTCCACTAAAAGCTGTAACCATACCTAGACTGTATATATGCCTACCTGTAAATAAGACCCACTGAAAGATATGCAGTTTCATTTTTCAGTAAAAGTATTGTTTTTTTAATATTGGAAAGCAATAATTTCAGTGTACTCTGTATTGTCTAGGCTCAACCTGAGTATTGTGTTGAATTCTAGGCAACACTTGTTTCAGAAATACCAATATTAGAATAAGTTCAAGAAACCTTTAGTAGAAAGAAATATTAGTATTTTTTTCTTTTAGTAAAAAGAAACTAGATAACAGATAAAGGAAGGAACAATTGTCACAAAGCACAATTGCTCAATCAGTATTTGAATGAATATATAAGTACATTCGTGTTGTAAATATCTTCCTAGTAATTAGTGAGTAAGAAGGAACTCCAGAACTGCTATATTTGCTATGAGGAAGAAAATGATAAATGTTTTTACCACGTCAAGAAGAAAAGTATTAATACACAAGCCCTTGTGCTAGCATATGCACATGTTTATAAGAACGAGACAGCAGATACATAAAATTGCTAGAAAAGTATACGAAAATATGTCTTAGTTTTCCAAAACCTCAAATAGGTGTTTACAGTTTCTTGCAGTGAGAATTCCTTGTCATTCAATCTTTATTTACTTAAGGCAAGTGTTTTGTTAAATGAGCTCCACACAGACTGAGCTATCTACAGAGAAACAAAGGGAAGTGAACAAAGAAAACAGGAAATAATTTGTCTCATCAACAGTGAAGGAGAGATTAGACACCCATTTGTCTGAAATGATATAGGGTCTCCAGCTTGAGCAGGGGGTTGGACTAGAACACAGGTGTCAAATTCAATCATGTCATGATGTGACTTTTTTTGCCTTTTGTGAAGCTGGGATGGGCGTGGCCTGCAGGTGATGCATCTGGCCTGTGGGCCACCAGTTTGACAAGCCAGGACAAGCCAAGGTCCCTTCCAATTCTGTTATTCTGAGTATAAAAACGATGAGCAGGTTTTGGGCAACGTGGGTGTGGATTTCCTGAATTATATGGTCACAGATATTATCTTGAAGAAATATTACATGTCATTGAGTAATAAAACCAAATGTTGCTGTTCTGATGAATGAAAAATACTGCAGGCTAAGTAGCAAAACTTAAATTATGGGTCTTGGTGCTCTCAGCTTGGTTTTTTTGCAAACGTTTCATTGCCAAATTAAATTTTAATTACCAAATAAAATGACTTTGTAATTTTTATTTAATAAAAATATCTTTAGGGCCAAATCATTGACTCAATGTATGAAAATGCTTCAGTATTATGCCCCTCTGGCTAGTGATCTAGCCCTCATTCTGCATGCATGACCATTTGAATCTTGAAACCATGACAGCATTGCAAGTCATGCAGCTTAAATTCTGGAAAGTTGCAGGGTGGTAATATTCCCTTGCTCTGGTTATTTTTAATGTTCATTTGTTTCCATTTATTAGGAAGATGAGTATTACTATTTATGTCACGAAACTGGCATTGTCAAACCAAGATAAATGGCTGACTGTTTTTCTCACTGCTGAGTTAGTCCACCAGTCCTTAATTGGAAGAAAATTATACCAGTATAAGATTTGCTGTCTCCTGATCCGTCTGCTGCTGTTACTATTCCACCTTTCTGCTGAATCATAGTACAGGTAGTCCTCAATTTACGACTGATCACTTGGTGACGATTCAAAGTTACAACAGATCTCCCCAGAGTTTCTTTCAACCCGATTTCAAAGTTCTAACAGCCACTGTCCCTTCACAGGATTATTTACTTTCCATTTCTGGCAAAAAATGTCCATTGGGTACAATGGGTTCACTTAGCAACCACTATACAAAAGGTTGTGAAATCAGCCACAATCACATGGTGACCAACTTAACAATTGGCACAATTTACAACTATAATTCCAGGCTTAATTATGGTATGGATACTTACTGTATATATTTTAACACGTTCAGGACAAAGCTTGATTTCTACATGCTCAGATGCCTCTTGGCATCACCAGCCATTAGGACTATAGTTGAAGCTAAACAACCAGTGTGGATAATTTTCAACTGTAAAGTTACACACAGTTGAAAATTATCCACACTGGTTGATATGACTTCTCTTACATCTATTCTATCTAGCAGGCTTGTTGACTTGGGTTCTGATCTTTTACCATACTGTTAGGAGAAATAATGGTCTCCCACAATTGCACATCTGTTGAAAATAGCAGGTGTGTGCTGCTCTTTTCATTAAGGGGTATCCAGGGTCTTGGGGGAGAGGCTCTGCCCATACCACCCTGAATTACCAATATAATCTTGGCTATGGGCTACTTGACTGCATTGTCAGTAGTATAGAAACTGCTGCTGGCTGCTTTTGAATTAAGGAGAAATCCTAACATTTGACAATTAAGAAAAACAAAAGGTTGTTTCACATATGTGTCAATGGTGAGATGTAAACGACATCATAGTGATATAGCAGAATAAAATGCCAGGGCATTTTTGTAGAGAGTTTAGATACTACAGGTAGTCCATGAGTTATGACCATTCTTACAGCAACTATTTGAAGTTACTGGCATTGAACAAAAGGACTTATGACCAGTTCTCAAAGTTCTGGCCATTGTAGCACCCCCATGGTCCCATGAACTCTCTCCTTACCTGGGTCTCCCTCCACTTCCCAATTAACAATCCACACATTTTGAGTTACAAGGACAACTGCCTGCATTGCCATCACTGAGTGATGCAGTCACATGATGCTGCATTTTATGACTGCATCACTTAGCAACAACAATCCTGGTCTCAAGTGCAGTCATAACTCAAGCACTACCAGTAATGAAGGGAAAGTCCTTAGAGTCTTTGAAGTAGGGAAATTTGCATAAACGTAGAACAACTTAAGGAATGAAAATGAAATGTTAGAATCCCAAACCTATCCCAACAAGGAATGAGGATATTAATTAGGTGGCTATGGAATGCAGACTGACTGGGAAAGACATTAGAGCCAGCCAAATAGAATGGAG